AGAGAGCAAGGGAAGCCAGGCTCTTGGCCGAGTCCTTCACCGCCCTCAGAGCTTGTTGAGCATGGCTGGGCAGCAGCATCTGCGTACTGTGAATAGCACAGAAACCATGCCAGTAACCAGCTTACAATGCTCTGAAAGCATCTGTGTGCCAACACCTTCTGGAACACCTGCATCCCTCTCCACCTACACCCAGCTGCCAGGAGAGGTGTTGCTCAGTGTCTCCCAACACTACTGCTGCCATCAGAGATGCCGACTGAGGCTGACGGGCTGCTGCGAACAAACGAGGAGTGGCCCAGAGTCAGTTTTCACTTTAGAGAGGCACTGAGGCTTTGCCAGGGCTGCTCTCTGCCTTCTGTCCAACACCTCCATCCCTTCGGTGGTGGGTGAGCCCCTTCCTCTGCACTCCCCTCCCAGCGGGCAGCCTGGCCCAGCCAGTGCCGGCCTCCAGAGGGGAGAGCTGAGAAGGAGGACCCCAAGAGGGAAATGCTGCAAGGCAGCTTAGTGTACACCAGAGACCCAAGTTACCCACCCAGGGACAGCCCAGCCAGGCACTGCCACCAGGCTCAGTCTCGGAAGGGCTCAGCTCCACGCTCCTGATTCACTGCTACCTGCAGAGGGCTAGGCACAGCCGGCTGTGCTGAGCAGATGCTGAAACCTCAGCCCAAACCAAATGACCTCGTAAAGGGCAGCCAGCGAGGGTGGCACGGGCAGCCAGCACTCCCACCCACGTTTGGCAGCAGCCCCAAGGACAGAGCTGGCTGTTTGCACCGTGGGACATCACCCAGCACCAAGCAGGACTTCTCGGTCATGGTTGCCTTCACCCCTACATAACAACTCCCTTATAGGCACAGCAAGTTCCCTTGCTTCTCTCCAAAGGCAAAAGCTTACCAGTACTCCATGCTTCATTTGCGGTGTGTGAAAGAGGGCAAGACCAGTTTTCAGGGCCACATTTTTGGGTGTTTAGAGAAACAGACACAACCTCTGTTTATTTGCTTCATGTTTTAGCTACTTTCTAGCTTCTTTGGGTTTGTTGCTTTAAGCTTGCTGTGTTTGCATTTCTTGACAAGGTCGTTGCTTTCACAAGACTTCTGCAGCACTGCCCCACTTCCCTGGACTCCAGCTTTGTCTTCTGACATCCAATTGCTCTCAGAATATTAATTAAAATCACAGAGACCTCCACAAGAGGAGCCAAAACAGCAGAGGAAAACACCAGACGCTCCTTCCTCCTCCTAGGCCCCCCACGGAGGGCAATGCCCAAGACTTAAAAGCAAGAGTAACCTGTGGAGGACATCACAGTCTGATGGTCTGCCTCAGGGTTTCTCAGCCAACAGTACAGATTTTCTCAGAACTCAAGTTTGCTATGAAACTTTAGTATACCTGCTTGATGAAATTAATGTGTTTTATAACATGCCTGCCCTATCAGATGATTTTAGCATCCTTATGAATATGCAGACAGTTTATAACCTTAAGCGGGGAAAATAATCTGAAGGGAAAAAGATTTGAAAGCTCTCCTCACCACGAGATTTGTTGACATCAAAAGGCACGGCTGGTTCAGAAGTCAACTTGAATCTCAACTCTCTCACCTGCTTCCTATTACAGAAACAGATGTTCCTCTTGCTGTAAATTGCTGCTATTAATAATATAAATAATTATGCTTTTCTAATCATTTAATAGGTGCACGGGAGGGTACCAAAGTTCCTGGCAGCCATTAAATACATCCCCCTTCTTCTCAAAGGCTCAGAGACACGTTGGTGGCCTCTCTTATCCTTCACTGAAGTTCAGAGTAAGAGAGCTGAAGCCAGAATAAAAGCTAAGGAGAAATCAAGGGAGCCAGGCTCCCCTGCAGACCCATCCTCTCTCCAAATCTCTACATGACAGGGACAGCACCTTTCCCACCTGAGATGTACGCGTTGGAGCCTGCACGTGGCTAAGCACTGCAAGACTCGTGCTCCCTTCCTTGTGCAAGATGCTGCTGCACAGCCCCAGCTGATTTTTACCTCCCCAGCAGGTTCCCAGGACCTGGCAAGGGGCAGCAACCTCACATCCCGCTGCGTGGGGAAGCCCTGCTCTGCAAGGGAACCTGCCCTGGGCCCTGCGGTCCCTCCCTCCCCTCACTGCAAGCCTCAGTCATTTGCTGGTTTTGCTCCAGAGAACACTTTGTCCTTCTGTTGACAACAGCCCCAGCCTTGGGAACGTGAGCAATGACACCAGAGATTAACGAGGTCACTGCAACCTCCAGCGAACACTGCCCCTGACTACAGCCACTCAGCCCCTCTTCCCACCTCCCAGCGATCACGCACACAGACCAGCACAGCTCTGGCTCTGTCAGATGAGAGAAAAATCACTACTGGCTCCAGATGTTAACTTAGCACAGGCACATCTGGATCACCGGAGGGCTGTGAGCAGCCTGCAGGCCACATGCTGGCTCTGCCTTGCCCTGCCTCACCTTCAGAGTTAAGCCCAGTGACTGACCAGGTTTGCCATGTGCCTTAAGCAAAATTTCTAACCCTTCAGTGGCTGCACACTCTCTGAGTCTCATGCTGTGAGATGAGGTCGGTGGAGCTGTGCCAGGGAGACAGTGGGGCTGTGCCACCACCTGCGTGGGGGACGTGCCACACACCAAGCTCAGCTCTCCCCAAGAAGGGCTCTACTCGGACCAGGACCCTCCCTGACCGCCAAGGCACCCTGCAGGGGGACACCAGACCTGTCCATAGCAGGCTGCATTCAGGCTCAGATTCAATGGGGAGTGTGTTAAGAGACCAGAGACCCTCTTGCTTTTTTTTTTTTTTAATTATTTCCAGCTAAGAAAAGGCTGTGCGCTCCTGGTTACACAATACGGTCAGAGCTGCAGAGCCCCTCTGTCAGATAAACCTGGCCCAAGTCCTTCCCGCTGCAGCTCTTCCACACAACATGCTTGTGCATCCAGTCAAACGTGTCCCAGCACGCAGTGCTCTCACGCCCGTGCGGTCCTTGGCGCTGCCCTCCTGCACCCCTCCATTCCCCAGCCCGAGGGACCTGGCACCCCATCAGCTCATTTCCTCCACACTTCACTCTGTCCCGGGAGCAGCATCAACATCAAGGCTGATTTCCTGCTCCCCTTTCAGAGCAATTTGCCAAAAGGAAGCCCCTAACAAGGTGCCAGGAATGAACAGAAGGCCCTTGCTAATAAGTTTCCCAGCAGTTCTAAGGATGGACCTGGCATGCAAAAGGAGACTGGGGCAGCCATCATGGCCCACACGGCCTTTGAGGAAACAGCTCAACTCCAGTGCTGCCGATGGGGCACGGCAGGGCATGCTGGCTCCCTAACCCGCAGCTTGGGAAAAGATTTAGCACTGACGTAGCAGGCTACACCTTCAAGATCAATACAGAGAGCAAACGCACACAGCCAGCCTTCCTCCCTCCCAGAACACCGTGCCTCAAGCCGAGCATCATCTTCTCTATGCCAGTTCTACCAAGAGGAAAGAGAACACACCGCCTGAGAAAACATGTTTGCACTAACAAGGTCACATTTAATCAGCCGGCACCTCCCGGGGTGCAGTGTCGTCTGCGTGAATTAATAAGCCCTTCCACAGCGACAGAACAACCAGCTGGAAGTGCCCCATGCCAGGCACCCACAAATGTCTGCAGTGGGCAGTTCCAGGACAGGCAGACGGTCCCTGGGCTGGGGACACGTCAGGCTGGCAGGCTGACAGCACGCTGTGGTGAGGACTCAGCTGTGCTCTCCTGCTCCCAGGGCCCAGCGCAGGGAGTAAAGCCGTTTTGTCTGCTGTGAGGACACCTTGCCACACCTTTGTTTCCAAGTTGGGCATCACTGCAGGTGTTCCGGGGTGAGGCAGCACCCAGCATGCTGATGCTCACAACCTGCCTTCAGCCCATGCTGTAGGCTTGTTCCTTGGGTGCTAATCAGAACAAGAGCAGCCAAAAATCCCTGCCAGTCACCTTTTGAAAGCTTGCTTTATCTGTCACATCAGTTAAAAGGGCCCTGCAGAGCTTTAAAAGAGACAAAAGCTGATTTACTGCTTGGCACGTGGAATTTCATTCCCAATGCAGATTAATTCCATTAACTCATTCTGTGCCCTTTTTGGGGCAGATCCTTCCCTGCCCTTGCAGCTTACGGAAAGCACAAAGCAAACACACTGCAGTGTCCTTTCCAATAAAGGTGCCTGATAGCCTCATCTTGCTCTGGCATTCACATTTCCTCCCATGTTGCCCACTTGCAAACACATTCCCTCCCCACACACCGTACCACATCTTTCAAGAGACCTTTCAATGCCAGCAAAAGCCCAGAAACTCACCTTGTGCTTCATAGCCAGAATAGTGATGAGCTGTACCCACGTCCTCATCCCCGGGGCCCAAGCCAAGGGCTGACTTGAGCTGGGCCATGTTCACCTGCGCTGTCAGCTCACCGTTCCGGTCCCCGATCTACAGGGTGAAAACCAACAGGGCAGCTGGTTAAAAGGCAACATGCTCTAAGCAAACAGCCCCTAGCAAAAGGGTTGCCAGCCCCATATCAAAGCAAACAGCCAGCCAGACAGAAGAGAGCTTGGAGGCACCCTGAGAGACCACACAGCTCAGCTTTCAACGCCAAAGCAACTCTCCAAAACTGTTCCTCGGTGGTAATTTGGGCGTGGGTCCATGCATGCTGTGCTGTGTACTGGCTGCACCTCAGAACGCATTTCTGCACAGTTTGGTACGATGAACTGAGGGGGCACAGCTCGCCCACTGCTATAGGACTGCAACAGAGGCGAACGTGCACGTCTGGTCCGTCCTGTAGCCACAGATAGCTTGGCAGAGTGCCCTGAAACTCTCAGCCCCCCTTCCTCAAGTATTTCCATAGTTACCAAGCACCAGACAGCCACTCTACTATCAGCCACGTGGGCAGTGGCACACTTGGGGCTTGGATGCTCTGAAAGCCCTTCTCTCCTGGCTCAGGTCCATACAGCTTTGAGTTGTTCCTAGTGATCTACCCACACACAACTCCAAAATCTTTTGCAGTCCAAATTTTTTCCAAATTCCCGTCTCTTACTGGCCTGAGGAAGATGTTCAGGAACAGATCTTTCCAGTGGCTCCTGCTACTTAAAATGGGGAGTTATAAGACATGCTGCTGAGCCCTCCCCAAAGTTTAACCAAACAAGAAAATTACTGGGCTGCATATCACCAGCGAACACAGAGAAGTCACTCGGAAACAGCGTCTAATCTTTAGAGAAACAGCAGCCTCCGTTACAGAGGAAGACCTTGGCCATTCCCTTGGAGAGGCCTGACTCCCTGTTAAATGCCTTCCAACAGCTCTTTTGTGGTCCTTCGAGATAGACTGCAGTGTGAGCCATCCTAGAACAAAATCATAAATCCCCACATTATTTATGACAAAGCCCCAAGCACTAGTAAAGGGAGGCAGATCAAACGGCTTATCATCAGGCATAAATCCCCCGCCAATTACAAGAGATTTGCTGTTGACATCATCTCCAGAGAAATTACTATGTCCTGGTTAGGTCTCACAGTCCTTGATGCTATGTTCAATGCTTCCCTGACTTCCACTCATTCCAGATCCTCTCCACGGCCCTATTAACATCAGACGAATACGCTGGCAGGACAACGATCCTAGGCGGGACCTACCACACACACCATAGCAGACCCCTGTTTTCTGCTCTCAGCTCGGATGTCTCAGTTTCCCAGGAGCCCCCTGCCACACACAGGGATGGGAAAGGTACTCCAGAGCAGTGTCCGAGAGCTTCCAAGGGTTTTAGGCACACATTTTTCACTCCAGCTGTTTCAGAAGGAATTTTTCAGCAACCTCTGATCACCCTGCAGCAGCTTCTAATATACTTACCCTGAGCAGATTGCATTTGGATTCAACGGTCACTGTCAGATTTATGTCAGGGTAGAAGGGGGAGAGGGTGATGGAAGTGAGCTAAACGCATCAGTGAGCAAAGGTTTAACTTCGCTAGGTTTTTCCTGGGCAAAACGCTGGTGGCTTGCCACAACAGCACAAGTGGCTCACTTGGTTCCCGAGGCTAAAATAAAACATCAGCTTTTCAACAGAATCACTAGCTGCTAGGAGCTAATGCAGGCTCTCCTCACAAACGGACAGTCTCTGCGCTGCTCCATAATTAATGATGTGGAGGAGTTTATTACCCGCCTGCCATGAGTAACCTACCCTGTAATCACAGCCATCACCCCAGAATGGTAACGCTGCTATGAACCCGCACCCTGGCGGGTTTCCTCTCCGCCCCCCCGAAGTCCCCAGGACCATTACTGCTCCTGCCCTCCCATCGCCCCCCATCCGCGCTGCACATTGCCCAGCTGCTTCCGAGGAACCAGCCCCACACTGCAACAGTCCTAGCAGACGAAAATTGGAAAAGTTAATTTGTCCCAAAATGTACAAGGCCAAAGAACAGTATTTTTTTCTGCACGTCTGATAAGTATAATTAAATACATAATTAGGCTGGTATGTCAGCCCTACCCCAAGATTTAGCCAACCTAACAGACAGGCAGGAGAACACACAAAGCACTTACATATGGTGATTTCAATTAGTGCTTCAAATAGGGTAATTTCTTCATCTGGGGAAGACTAAAGAGGCCACGGCTGATTTCCTCATAACACACTGGAAAGAGCAAACAATGGAATTCTTGCTTTCTGTACTTCTGAGCCACCTAAAAATGCCGTATGTCCTTGCAGCAGGAAAGCTGCAGCTAGCTGGGCAAGCACATCTGTGAAAACCAGAGTAGCTGCAGGCATGAAACCCCAAATGCTGCGGAGCGGTACAGGGCTAGCTGCAGGCTCTGCTCGTCCAGCATCAGCCATCAATTGATCGATTGTATTAGGACAACGCTAGAGTTTACCACCTCACAGCTGGGACCCCCTGCCAGCTCCACTGAGAGCAAATAACTTGCCACACATACATGCTGTTGCAGCACAAAATACAGTGGGTTTAGAGCACCCAGCCACTGGGCAGAAGTTGACCTTGTTTTCTCCAGGTACTTAACTTGCCAGCAGATCGGGTCAGACCACAGCTAGAATCCCAAGGTCCATCTCAGTCAGGATCTCACAGCCTTGCGCTCAGGAAAGCGGGGTCTTCCTTACAGACTGGACACCAGGAGGCATCCGAGTTCCTTCACACCAGTTTCGTGCACAACACTTTGGCTAACAGACTGGACAGCTAGTCCCCAGGTCCTTTCTCACCGAGGAATATCAGTTAAGAGCAGTGTACAGCAAATATATTAGCTGTAATTAAGGGGAAGGCTGAGACCCTCCCATAAAAAGAATGTTTTCCAGCCAAGCTCTGCAGCTCCTAAAGACACTATTGAAACAGCACATAGACAAGGGCTTTCCAGAGCAGTCATAGCAAGAGAACTACATTAATATAACTTATCGGCATGAAATAAAGTCTCTCAACAGGGAGGACTGATTCCCTCCGATCTGAACCAGCTTCTCTTACCTCTTGGGAGATTTCAAGATGTTTCCTTGCAAAGTGCAAAGCTTGTTCATGGCTCCCCAGGGAGACATAGGCATTTCCGAGACTCCAGCAGGCTCTTCCTTCTCCCACCCTGCAAAACAGGAAACTGTCAACCACAGAAATGCTGGGCAAAACCCAGCAGCACAGCAGCCCTTTCAGGGCCTCCCTCCCAAGAGAAGTGCCAGCCAGTCCTCCTAGCTACACTTTCACCTACAGAGAGGTTCTGCAAAGGAAAATGAAATGCACTGTACAGCTTAAACTCCTCTTATGCTGAGGGTCAGTAAGATCAGGGGATGAGCAATAGCTTCAGAAATGAGCCTGCACCCAGTCTGACAAGGGCCCAGAATGGTGTGGCTTCATTTGTGAGCACCAGCCTGCGAGCAGAAGCCAGAGCTCTTGTCCAGCTTCCACTTTGCACAGCAAGGTTTCCTCTCCAGAAGTGCACAATGCATCAAGAGGGCATGTAACATCTAGCTCTGGGCTGCTGTTGAACCGAAGGGCTGGATTAACAAGAACACGGCAAGGAGGAAATACTGCAGGCATGCAACGTTCTCCTGCTCAATACCAGCACTGTGTCACCCGGGATGCATGCACAAAGTGAAACTGCATGCAACAGCCAAGCAAATATTGACCTATTTCCACAAAGCCTCCAGGGTGCTGCTTCTTGTTTTCAGAAGCCAGAGAAATCAGGCTAATGTGAAACCTGCCCCAGGCAGCCCTCCCAGCCCCCAAGTGCACCCAGCCCGTGCCAGACACTGAGGTGCCTCTGGAGCAGATTTTAGCACCTTTTTGCACAAGCAGGCAGAGACCTACTGCTCATCAGAGCCTGCTCAGCTCTGCAAACGAGCAGATGTGGGGGGTGATGGGATAAAAAAAGCACATGGGGGCGCAGGGGGAGGTTCAGCGTGACTGCAACTCCCTTTTCAGAGGTTTGGGCGGGTTGATCAGCATTTAAACATTTTTCTTGTCACCCTATTCAATACCTTCTGCTCATAGGGTGTGTTCCCAGAAATGCAGGAGCCCACAGGCCTGCACCCCCACAGCATGATTCACCCTGGGGTGGGATTATACCTTCCCTGAGCAGATACTGCCCGGATAGTGCCATTTTAGTGTCTCTGCTCCATCTAGTGGAGGACACCCAGCTTCCCAAGAGCCATGAGCAGTAACACGAAATAAGGTGGCTGCAAAGCCACTTAAGCTGCAAGAAGGCTCCAGGATCACAGAGCGAGTATCCAGGAGAAGGGAACCAACCTCTCTTAAAAAATATTTGGGGGGGGGGGGGAAGGGAGTCCAAGCATCCTAGAGAAGGAGGAATGAGGCCAAGAAGCAAAACATATCATCTCCACATGCTCTATGTAACATCATTTCTTTCTACATGAAAGTTTCCAGCATCATCTCAGAACAGGACAAAGTGGCATGTATGTACGTATGCCCTAACCACACAGTTTCCAAGACATAACTTTTGTGAACTTGAAGGAGTTTTAGAGGGTCCATTCTGGGACAAAACAGCAGTAGCCTCACAGCAAAGCACTGAATACAATGCATTTTCTTGAAGCACCTCTTATTAGAAATCTCACTCAGCCCACACAGACATAGTTTTAAGGGCACAATCTCCAGGTTTGAATGACATGATAAAGGTGTCAATCACATTACAATTTTTGACAGATGACTGGACTAAAGTCTGGATTCTGAGAGATTTCTAAAGACTTTCAAGAATACATGTCACTGCTCTGTAGCCCCAGTAGCAGGGAACAGTCAGTAAATAGGGAAGGGCCAGTGCCCTGAGCCCATCAGAGCACAAACGTCACCTCCCGAGGCAGTCCCCTACCTGTCTCCCAGCTCCTGTGCTATCACCAGATGTTTTAGGTGGTACTCGATTGCTCTTTCATAGTCTTGAAGCAGTGTGTACGTGTTTCCAAGACTGTAGCAAGCCTGGGCTTCTACTGCTTGGTCTTTGAGTTGTCTGGAGAGCTGGAGTGTTTTCCTGCATGGAATAGGTGGAAATAAAGAGACCTGGTCACTGCAGGGCTCCTCTGCAAGGCAACGGGGAAGTCACCACTTTGGCATGCATTGCGTCGAAGTTGGTGCCTGTAACACACTGCAGGCTGTCAGGTGGCTGCATTACTCGCCACTGCTGAGCACCACACATGCAATTGGCCTCCAGGTCCCTTGTCACAACCCCCTGAGCCTACAGATTCACTGCAATAGATCAAGATTTCCAGGAAACATGTGCCCTGAGTTTGCTTTAGCCCCTGGCACTTACTTGTAGTACTCAGCAGAGATGTCAAACCTCCCAAGGAAGATGTGTGCATTGCCCAGGTTGCTGTACGCTCTCCGCTCGGCTGCCTTGTCCCCAAACTCCTTCGCAATAGCAAGGCGCTGCAGCAGATACAGATTAATGAGTACAGGCTGGCCATGGCCAGGTTTCTATTACACAGCAGCTTTCCTGACCTATTAACTTCTTGGTTTGCAAAGCTCTCACCCAGCAAGCTAGTGGTGCACATGCCTATCAGGGCTGGATGCAGAAGGAAACCTCTCCCTCTTTCTCAATTCACGGTCAGGAAGGGCCTTTGGAAAAGTCGGAGTAATGTTGCATCCTCCTCCAACTCCTATGCCAGCCCAGTCAGCACACATCTCTTCAGCTGAAGTGCAAAAGGAGTTATGCACTTACTTCAACAGCTGAATAAAGAGGCAAACAGAGAGCTGTCGGTCAGGCTGTGAAGGGATGTGGTTGATCAGCAGACCAGTGTGCAGGAACAAGGCTGTCACTTTGCGTGGTGCTGTGGCACAAAATGAACATGCACATGCGTGCACTCCATCTCACCGTCTGTGCTGCAGCTGCTCCCCAGGCCTCTGCCCTTACCTGCACCTCAGTCCTGCCTCTCCTCTCAGCTCCCCCTGCGCCCCCACCTCTCACCCTCCACTTTTCAGCCCCTGCTCCTGGTCCCAAATACTGCACAGTTTTCCTGCCCCTTTTCAGGCCCCTTCTCCCAAAGCACTGCTGACTGCTGTCCACCAGCATTTAAAA